ATATATATATATATATATATATAAATTTGAAACATAGATTGATGTACATTAGATCTCAAATATTGTGACACCTGCTTTGAACAGTAAAAATAAAAAGTTAAAGTTAAAATAATAATGCTTACATTTAAGATAGGAATAATCAAAATGTGATATTATATTAAAATGTATTATGAAATTTGTTGAAGATATTAGAAGATATTATAATAAACATATTGGGATAGGGTGTCTTACACATATGTGTTAATTTAGCTTATTTAGACCAGTCTCTGATATGGGCCATATTTAAAGGGTCATGTGAAAAGCCTGAACCCAAAATCTGAGGTTGGATTTAACAAAACAATTGAAATTTGACACTTTGGCTTGTACTGTGAATGTAACCGAAGAGAGAGAACCTGTGGTGAATGTTTCATGTCAAAATAACACTAACACTCTTTGGAAATGTCCCCTCTACTATTGTTTCTATTGTCAGGTATCTTCTGTACCTGCAGTTGAAGAGAGACGTGTACCACGGTAGGCTGTTATGTCCGTTCGCTGATGCTGCGTATCTTGGAGCCTGTATAGTACAGGGTAAGAATACAATCTCATCTACAGGCAGCTTTTACAACCAATCACACTTTCCATTACATTTAGTTATGTAACCAAAGCTTGAGTACTATTTGACATCAGACCCTGTCAGCGCCAGTAACAAGGTGTTTCTGAGACATTTTCTTCTGGAAGCTTTTTAACTAATCAACAGCCATATTTCAAACCTCTTTCTGCATTTCCCTGCTCATAAAATAAACAGCAAAGAGAATTTCTGATGGATATGAACCTCATTTAGATCAGAAACAGATAAAGGTCTCTTGTTGCAGATACATGGGCTAATCAGCGTTTCATATGGTCGTTTGATGAGTTTTAAGGCTGTTTGTCTTTTTTTAGCTGAGCTTGGGGACTACGATCCTGAGGAACATCCTGCAGACTACATCAGCGACTTCAAGCTCTTCCCCAAACAGACCCTCAAACTAGAGCGCAAGATCGTGGAAGTCCACCAGAATGAGCTGAGGTGAGAGGAAAAAAACACCAAATTTAAGCCACATGCCCACCATAGAACTAAATTTAATTGTACACTACCGTTCGAAAGTTTGGAAACGGTAAGATTTTTTTTTTATATTTCTGAAAGAAGTCTCACTGAGGCTGCATTTATTTGATCAAAAATACAGTAAAAATGTCAAGCTGAATTTCCAGCAGATGTAGTTGTCGATCTTGTAAGATCGTGTTGTTTGTTTCTGTAGGGGTCAGTGTCCTGCTCTCGCTGAGTTAAATCTTCTTCAGAGGGCTAACACACTGGACACATATGGAGTCGACCCACATCCCTGCAAGGTACTGACTCGCCTCAAAAACTACAACATACATGTATCTGTTAAAGTAGTTGAACTTCTTTTAACTCAACATGCATCTGAAATACGCAGCGCTCATGTGTGAGTTGCTGAAAAAAACACTACTCAATGATCAAAGACGTCCAAATAGCAAATTTACCTGAAAAAAGCAACGCAGTGGAATGCGAAAAACTACTGTAGCTGAAACACCATGAATCTGATCTAGTCTAATTCATTTCAGGATTTCACAGGATCCACAGCCTTCCTGGGATTCACTGCAAGAGGGTTTGTGGTTTTCCAGGGAAATAAGCGGATCCACCTTTTAAAATGGTAACTCTCTTATCACTTTGAAATATCTTCACTCTTCCTCAGATTCACTTGCCATCACTACCTCACCCTACTCAGTGTGGTTTAGTGTAAAAGTGTGGTCACATTAGCAATATTTCAGAGAAATTTCAATGGCAAAAAAAGCTCATTGTCTGTTGTCAAAAGTGTTGCAAAGTATGAAGCACAGCTCAGACAGAAGTCACTTTCAAACCAAGCAGCTTCTGTTGGTCAAAACGCAAATCCATGACCACCATTGGGAAATCTTTCACTCTAATGCAAAAATCTAGGTTGTATGTATTCTTATTGAAATGACTGAATTTTGTATGCAGCAATTTGGTGAACAACAGTAAAAGTGACCTCACCATAAGTGTCCACTTTGCAGCTTATTCTGAAAAAAAAAGGTCCAATTAAGGCCTGTTCTTAAGGCCACAATGGACGATAACCAGACCCGGTTCTACAGGGGTACTAGAGGGTGCTAAATACCCACAAAAGAAAGCAAAAGCAATTAAAGATCTAGCAAACTATCCAGTGTGTATTTGCGTTTGCCTCTGGACAGCTTCAAAGGTTACTATTTACAACGTGTTTTTGCAGTGTTGAGCAATGTAGCCAATCACAGACATATCTGTTGATTTCTTGAACGCAATGATCAATCAGAAACGTTTTAGTTTGTCAGAATTCACTCACCGCTAAAAGCGCCAGATTTTTAATTACGTGCAGTTTTGCACGCTCGTGAATCATCTCTTAACTGAGTGCAGACGAAATGTAAATAAGAGATTCATTGTGCAGTTTAGAGAGCTTCATTGATTATAACGGAACTTTGTGAAATCGTGATGAACTAAGATGAGTGGCGCTTTAGTGATAATATAGGGAGCGTGTTTTGTACATTTTCTAGGCGATAATCCATTCAGAATTTGTATGAAACTTTTGTTTTTCGGACACATACACGCTGCAAAGTTTCGGGAATGACATCTGCATATTTAAGCTGGAATCACTCTCGAAATAGCAGTGATTGACACAGTGATAACCATAGCAATGGATGGGATAAAGGCCTCCTGAAGCGAATCGATGCGTTTTTGTAAGAAAATTATTCAAAACTTTATAAACTGTAATCTCTAGCTTCCGCTAAGTGGCATTCCAGCGGATGGCGTAGGACGAGTGAGAATCGGTGAGAATATGCTTGTCTCGCAAGAACCAAGTTTTGTTTACAGCAAAGTAAAACCAGTCTCCTCTAGGCTTATATCGAAATTATATCGACATTTTTCGTTACAAATCCTCGTTTTGTACTTCTAATTCGTGACTGGTGTTTTGTTTTGCTCTCTCCACTCACTGTGCTTTCATGTTCGTCACTTCTCACCGGAGCTTACGCTACGCCATCCGCTGGAACGCCACTCTCTCGTGAACACGTGTACAACAGTTGGCGGAAGCTAGATATTATGGTTAAGTTTTAAATAGGGATATTTTCTTACAAAAACAGATCGATTAGATTCAGAAGGCCTTTATTAACCCCCCGGAGCTGTGTAGAGTACTTTTATGATGGATGGATGCAGTTTATTGGGCTTCAAAATCTCAACGTCCATTCACTGCCATTATAAAGTTTGGAAGAGCCAGGACAGTTTTAAATATAACTCCGATTGGATTCGTCTGAAGGAAGAAAGTCATATACACCTAGGATGGCTTGAGGGTGAGTAAATCATGGGGCAATTGTCATTTTTGGGTGAACTATCCCTTTAAAGCCTGTGTGCTGTGACTCACAGACATTAGGTGTGTTAGAAGCAGACGGCTCCTTATGCTTTCGAATCGCTCTCGCAGTACTTTGATGTCATCCACCGATCGGTCTGTACAGCGCTGCTTCAAGCCGAACACTCATATTATGTAAGGCCAGGCGATCAGCTGGTCGGTGAGTGGTCTGTGGGTGCTCATGATCTATGACATGAGGTTTTGTACGGCTGTTAACACCAGCCCACAGTCAACAAGCAGATAAGTGCTTTTGAAGAGTTTCCCTCTCATAGCATTAGAATGACTGTTGACATGAAGCTTTTGCATTGACCGCCTCACTTGTAACATTTCGTTTGTCTGCCTCACTCTTGCAGGGCAGATGTCAGCAAGTTTAAGTTTGAAGGGAAAACGTTTTATGTGATTGGAGTGCAAAGAGAGGTAAGATACATGATCTTTTTAAACTCTCATTCATTTTAGTCATGTGATTCATAATACATTTACCCACCATGACTTACAACCATTCAGATTTTCATTAGGCTGTACATTACATCATGAGGATGTTATAAACACAATCTTATGTTATCTTACATTCATTTGAGAGCCTTGGTAAATTCACTGTCATTGTCCTGTATTAACATTCCCATGTCCCTATTCTTCATTCTACTATATTAAATAGCTGAAAATGAATTTAAATGATTCATAAAGAATAAAGAAATAGGGTGACCATGTGTCCTCTTTTCCCGCATGTGTCCTAGACAGGATTTCTAAATTGCCTAAAATGTCCAGGTTTTGTTTTTGTTTTCCTATTGACAGTTCCTCTGCAGTCCTCATACATTATGTGTGAGTGTATTTGCATTGCGTTGACCGTTCTCTGTGGATCCCGCCTTCCCGTATGCCATGATTGGTCGATTATGTACAGTGCCTGCACACTATTGGTCAAAATACTTTTCGGTCATTACCTTCATCAAGTATGAAAACAATAGGAAAACAAAGCCAAAACCTGGACATTTTAGGCAATTTAGAAATCCTGGCCAGGACATGTCCGGGACAAAAGAGGACATATGGTCACCCACTGTTCACTTCACTGTTTTCATGCAGATATCAAAGTGGCTTTGTTTTGCCAGTACAGATTTAAGGCCTGTTCACACCAAGGATGATAATTAGAACGATACCTATAAGCATAACGTTTTAATAATTGTTCTAAATCTATGAGAACAGAGATGTCCACACTACAAATATAACGATAAGGTCACAGAGGAACAATATCATTGGAATCACTTTCCCGCTGGTGTACTATAAAAACACTGACAGCCAATCAGAATCCAGCTGACTTTGAAAAGCTTAAGCATGACAAGGATTATAATAGACAGAACGTCCATTGGTGTGGGCACTAATATAGTTATCGTTATAGTTATGGTTCTTGGTGTGAAGGGGCCTTTATTCAGCGTCCTGTGCCTGTCATTCTGTTTGTGTGCCATGCTTTAAATCTAGTTTTACATGTGCTTCTGTCTTCTTTTCTCTGTGTGCACTTTTCCATTGCTGGTGAGTAAACATATACATCATGGCCATTGATTAACTCATGAATTATGATTACATAGCCTACAGCACACTTCCTCACCCACATTTCTGTCCTGATTTTAATCAGACTTTAGTTGTAGTGCCTAACATAGAGTATTCATGAGAATTTCATGAGCAACACTGTCTATCAGGACTGCACAATTATGACAAACATCACTATTTCACTGGATAGTCTAATTAAAAATGATTTAGACTTTGAATTGAAATTGAAATAACTTTTTGTGTGAGGCAGCCACCTGCCATGTTATTATCCTGTATACAGTGTTACTCTTTATTACTCTATTCTTGTATAGTTTAGTAATTATTATATAAATAATTTTATTAAATATTGTTGAGAGAATATGGAATAAACACTTTTTAATAAATTATTGAATACATGATATTAAATTAAAGCACAGTCATTTTAAGCAATGACACTGTCCACAATTCAGAATAAATCTCTTGGAATTAGTTTGTCAGTATAGCAAATGAAAAATAATTCATAAAAGCTTCTTTTTGGGAATGAATCTAAATGCATTGCTGTAACTGACATGGTTATACTAGTAAACGTGATTTATATACAGTTGTGCAGCCAAACTTTATATAGATATAATAAACTGATAGTTTAAATAGTTTAAAACAGTGGTTTTCAAACAGGGAGCTTTAAATGAATTAAATGATTTCAAATAAGACAAACAAGCATTAAAATAAGCTAAAAATGCAACAGTCTTGAAAAATGAAAAAAAGCCTAACATTTATAATGAATGTACATTTTTCTAATTATGCCAAGCTCTATAAAATAATAAAATGTTTAAAATATGTTTATACTTAATTTAAACATAATCCTTATCCAATAAATCACAAACGACTAGGAGTAAAAAAAAAAAAAAAGTTGAGAACTACTGGTTTAAAACTATTAAATATTTCTTAAGTTGCTTGTGAAGTTATGCATATTATATGATGGGTATGAAACTAAAGTGTTGTTGGATGTCTAGCTGTGTGTGTGTGTGTGTGGGGGATTGGTTAACACAACCCATGGGTCACGACCCATGCTAGCCTGAAAGTTGATTGAAAGTGGGTTGATTTTGTTTGTGAACAGGGAGAATCATTGTGTGCTGTTCTCACTGAAGTCTGTCCCTCTCTGCATGTTCACACACACTTGAAAAGGATGTGTGTGCCTTTACTTATACTGGACATGTGACTGTGTTTCACACACACGTGCACACGCCTGTCTGTGATTCACACACTATTCTGCCCAGAAGTGTTGGAGTGCAGACTTTTTACTATCCTGAGAGGTTGAGCAACGGCTGACCTTTTCTGCAACTCAAATCTCACAGAATGATTTCTGAATTATTATTCATATACTTGCATTTGAAAAGACCTTAGAGACTTCTTGCATAACTCATCCAGCACCGTTTGCGCTCCTCGCATGAATTATACCTCAAATTTTGAGGCATAATGAGGAGATTTGTGCTATTACTATTTTTTGCATCTGGAGAATAAAATTGGCAAAAAATCATATGGACTTACATTGATTTACAGGGCAGGGCTCCAGACAAAAAAAATAATTTAAGGAGCCATTGGCTCCTATAAGAAACAAAACTAGGCGCTTAATTATTTTTTAAGTGCCACAGAATAAATTGTGCTTTCTTTCTTTCTTTTAAACACTTTAACGTTTCAGTCATACTCTCATGTGTTTATGTCTCCCATAATTTTACAGCATCAGCATTTTAATCCATCTTGTAGATGTCCTGGGAAATATATAGTTTAGTCATGAAACTCTAGATGGCACAGGCTGATGGGTTGTTAACGTAACTGATGATATTCAGAGAGTTAAACGACTTGGCACAAGCTGATTGGTTCATGCTGCATATGCAGCCAATGAGCTTACTGCCTTGCATTTATATGGCTGGCTAGCATTCACTTGAGATTCCTGCAGCATGCTTTCAGAGTTTCTCTGAAACCCTCCACCTTCCCCAGCTCCACCTGTATAGATTTGCTACGGGTTATTTTATATTTTTTGTGTGCAGCAGCAGTATGTCTTAAATACTCACGGCACCGTATCGCCGTATGCATTGGCAGTAGCAAGTTCCTGTACTTGCTTGCAGCAGCAGCAATAATCTTCAACTACAGCAATAACCAACCTCAGCAGCAATTCAGCAGCAGCAGCAGCGTAGCAGATCAATTCCGCCAAGACCAAATACATTAACATTGTCATATCCATCACCATGCTAAAATCTTCAGAGAGTTGTCATGATTAAACTAAAGTTCACTTAAAGTGGGAACTAAATGTCCTTTCCAACTTCAGAACTATATAGAGTCACAAAGAATTGTTGATTACACAGAATCTGTGCCAATATCACAGACCATTGGGAGCACTTGATAGAAAGCAACCAATGACAAGACAGAACTAAAGAACAGGAACCAATGAACAAACAGAACTGATAACCTCTAGGGATGTCCCAATCAGGTTTTTTGTGCCCCCGATCTGATCCAAGTCATTGAATACTGAGTATCTGCCGATACCGAGTTCCGATCCGATACTTGAATATTCCTATAAGAATGTATGTTTGGTGCACACTTCAAGTACATTAAAGTTATTAAAATCAATCCAATGTATACAGAGTTGTGCAGAGAATAAAAGTAATATATGTATGATTAATCACATGACATGACAATGAACCAATGGGAACATGACACATGGAGTAAGGAACACATGAGGGCAAGGAAGAAACATGGCTACAGGAAATTACAAAATAAAAGACATGACCAAAATCACACCTGACAGCTATATCTGATGTCACTCTGCGTACCACAGTTTGTAATCCCAGTTAGTTTAGTGCGGGATCCCCGTCTTGGACTGTCTCTTGTCATAGGTTGGTTGAGCGCTCTGACATTTAGCTTTGTTTTAATGATGTGACTGTAATCTCAGTGTGAGCGTTTAGCAGTATATTTTCAGCAGTTTGATGCTAAACGGCCTGGAAGTGGTTTGTATTGATTTCTTTCTGGATTCACTGTTCTGTTTAGTACTCCATCTATCGATCCCGGTCTCAGATTACACCACGCGTGGGGTTAATGGAACTTATTCTCCTGACAGTTCTGTTTTTCACAGCACTTTATCAGGCCTCATATACTGTATATCTCTGTCACATCGGCCTAAGACGTACTGTACATATTCGCCTTCGCTTCAGTCCTGGATGCTTAATCCAGCAATTTATTGCTGGGCTCAGGTTGTCACATAGTTCGGTTGGCAGTTTAGCACATTCACCCCACTGTAATCTCAACCGTGTTAACGAGAAGCAGGAATCCGACACATATCGACCCAGTAGAAAACCAATACCCACTATACATTTTCATTACAGCGCTGACTTTGCTTTCGTCCTCTCATGCATGATGATTAATCCAGCATGTGACTGTTACTATAAACCAGTTCATGTATTTCTGAGTGGTGATATATATATATATATATATATATAAATGCTATTAAGCAATAATAATAAATGTTTCTTGAGCAGCAAATCAGCACATTGGAATGATTTCTGAAGGATCATGTGACACTGAAGACTGGAGGAATGTTGGAGTAATTCAGCTTTGCATCCCAGAAATAAATTACATTTTATAATATATTACAATAGAAAATGGTCATTTTAAATTGAAATAATATTTCACAGTATTACTGTATTTTTGATCAAATAAATGCAGCTTGAGCCTGAGAGATTTATTTTGTAGTAACTGTTTTACAAAAGCAATAAGGCACATAAAACTGTGCTATATCACTCTCAGAAAAAAAGGTACAAAAGCTGTCACTGCAGTGGTATCTTTTCAAATGGTGCACTTCTGTACTTTAGTTACCCCTAAATGGTGCATATTAGTACCTCAATGTAAAAAATTTGCACTTTAAAAGTATATATTAGTACCTAAATTTTACACATTAGTATGTTTTGAAAAGGTACTGGCCCACTGACAGATTTTGTACCATTTTTTCTGAGTGTGTAACACCATCTGTTAATATTAGTGTTAAAATATAAAACTGATGAACCACCTTTTTGAAATTCAATACGTACCCTTGCGAAAAAGAAGTTTATTCAAGTGTGCTATTAGTATACTTCTTTTAAACTTAAAATAGGAAAGTATACTTTTAGTCTACTTTTTATGTACTTCTCAGAAATATACTTAAAATTACATTTAAGTATACTTGACTTATACTTAGAAAAAGTCTAAATATATTTTAGCCTGTGCTCCTAGAATTTGTTACAACAAATGTTTTCATTGTTATACGGTAGGGGGTGCTATTACATATCTTCTGTACAGAATTTCCAAAAAACACAAGTGAAGAAGACTTTTGGTAAGGGTAAACACATACACTTGAGTTTTTACACACCATTAAACTGATGTAAACATACAAATACTAGGCTAATATTACTTCGGAGAATTGTTTATTGTGAATGGTATTCATAATAAATGTAATTTTTATTGGCCATTTGAGACTTTCATCATATGTTGTGAGTAATGCCCCACAGTCTTTGTCGAATCATAGTGATGCACAGCTTAATGGTTAACTCATTTATTACACTAATGTGTGTCCTTGTAAAACCCATTGCACTATCTATAGTGTAAATGAAGGTTAATAAGTGTTGTGTACGTTGTGTTCATTCCAGTCAAAGTGTCTCCAACCGGTTGACTGACTGTGCCGTTATGACGTGTTATTATTGATCCGTACTCTCATATTCCCTGCTCTGTTCCCGGTAAAGCCGCCCTGCTGCCCACAAACACACTCAGCGGCCAGCACTCTCACTAACATGCACACAGATTTGGGTCAGCATTTTGTTCAGCTCTCATTATTTATGACATTGTGCTCAGATTCCATCTCCGTGTAATTTATAGATTTTTTATGTCCTCACTCGCTTTGACCTCCGCGTTCACTTAAGATAATTGTATCTACCTTTGCTGTTCCACACTTCAATTATTCATGCTTTCTTTTCATCTATCTGCAGAAGAAACTGGTTCTGACGTTCCACACCTCCACACCAGCAGCCTGCAAACACCTGTGGAAATGTGCCGTGGAAAACCAGGCTTTTTACAAGTGAGAGTCCTACTTTTACCTCCCTCTCTCTCTCTCGCTCTCTCTCTCTCTCTCTCTCTTCATCACACTCTGGATGTGTTTCTTTCTAAGCAGCATATGTTTTGGTCTTTTTATGCAGTACAATTCAAAAGTTTGGGGTCAGTATGATTTGTTTTTTTAAAGAAATTAATACTTTCATTTAATAATCATGCATTTAATTTATCAATAATGACAGTAAAGATATGCATAATGTTATGAAATAATTCTATTATAAATAAATGCTGTGGTTTTCTATAACTTTCTATTCAATAAAGAATCCTGAAAATAAAATCACGGTTTCCACAAAAATATCATAACTGTCTTCACCATAATAATAACTGTCTTCATCATAATAATAATAATTAGAAATGTTTCTTGAGCAGTGATGGAGTAATGATGCTGAAAATTCAGATTATCCATCACAGGAATAAATTACATTTTAAAATATATTCAAATTTGAAACAATAATTTTAAAATGTAATAACATATCAAAATATTACTGATTTTATGGTCAAATAAATGCATAAATTATTTATTTATTTACTTACTTATTTAACATCAAATATATCACTTAATTTTTCTGTACCTCAAAAAAACCAAACAAAATTAATAACCCATGACATTACTCTTTTTTTTGTGCCAAACTTGTTAAATACAAAAGCTTTTGGAGTTAAAGATCAGTGCAAAAGTAGGTATTTTTAGTCATATTTTTCAGAGAAAAAAAAGTATCATTTTGATGGACTACTGCAGTAATGAGGCTTATATAAAAGTGTAAACATAATATAATAGGGAATGTAATTCAAACGTACCTTTGTTTGAATGTTTTATGATTTCACTCATTTTTAAAAAAGTGGAGATGTCAACATAACAGAGTTGAACAGAAAATACATAGTGTTGTTAAAGTGAAACTTCCATTACATTTCAATACATTTTTAAAATAGATTTTGCAATCCACACTAACAGAGTTACATCTATATAATAATGTGACTAAGTTGTGGATCCTGGTAATTATATCAGTATGAGGTCATGGGGACAAACGCAGCACACAGATGGCACGGTTAGCTGAGAATGATCCTGATATAAGTGCCTCGATGTCTTTCTCTGTCTCTAGTTACTCTGTGTGAGTGGTGTCACGTTACTGTTGAAAGCCCTTTAATTAAGAGCTTAAATGCCAGCCAGACAGTAGGCCTGCCTCTGTCAAACAACAACACTGGCTTCATATTAACACACACACACATCAGTCAGTCAATCACAAACTGCTTTTAATACTGTATATGCATGCTTTTGCACTAATTATGGGAGAAAAGCTGCTGAATTCTGCTGAATGGATTTAATATAGCAAAGAGGATTAAACAGAAATGAGAACACTGCATCTTTTCAGTAGCAGAATAAAAATTCAATACTCTTTCAACTGTAACAAGTTTGAATTTGAACGTAGTTGATGGGTCACAAGAGAGATGGAAGTCTAAGTGACCCAATTTGAGCCTAAATAACTAAATGTTTGGTTTCTGCTTTTTGTCTGATTTAGATGTGCAAAGTCCAGTCAGATCAAGACTGTGTCCAGCAGCAGTATATTTTTCAAGGGAAGCAGATTTCGCTACAGGTGAGATCGAGCGCTTATCTGATGGAAGTAAACCGTATGTCAAACATGCTGATATTATTATTTAATATAATTGTTTCTGGTTTGATTCCAGTGGTCGGGTGGCTAAAGAAGTCATTGAAGCCAGTTCAAAGATTCAGAGAGATCCTCCTGTTGTACACAGGTCAGCCTCCAACTGAAGTATATCTTACTGTCACTTCTCTAGTCCACACTTCACTTACTTCAGGTTGTGGGAATCAGGTTGTGCATATGGTTTAAAAGGGCCACAATATACATTTAGCATTTTTTATGTCGACTTATAATCTTAGTTAACATTTCTTGGACCAAAAATGTATCATTTAGTTTTTCATGGCCATTTTCCACCCTTGCAATTAAACAAACTATTTTTGACTCTAGTTTTGATGCGTATGTATGTATGCATGTATGTAATGACAAAGGTAAATAATAAAAGTATTTTAAAGTGATACCAGCAACACTTATGGAATGGAGAAGTCAGAATAATCAGAAAGTGGAACTGACAAGCATAATAACATGATTACAAGTAAAAGAAACATATTTAAATATAAACAAAATATAAAATATTTCAAGGACCAGTTGTCACTATTGAAGGGGTCATATGATACGATTTCAATTTTTACTTTCTCATTGGAGTGTTACAAGCTCTGTTCATACAGTGAAAGTCATTTATAACCAAATCAGCTTGGTTACCCACAGTCTTCAAAATACCTTTATGTTCCACAAAAGAAAGAAAGTCATACAGGTTTCAAACGACATGAGGGTGAGTAAATGATGACAGAATTTTTGGGTGAACTATCACTATTTTTTATTTTTAATGAAATGATACTCTGAATGAGAAACTAAAACTGCCAGTAGGTGATGGTAAATGTCTTTATGAGAAAGTCATTGAGTCATTCATTCATTAGATTCGTTCAAACGGCTGATTCATTCAGGAATGAAGTAAATGGCTCTCTTTATGAATGGGCCATTGAATCATTGGTTCACCCAGTTCATTCAAAACGTGGATTCATTCTGAAACAAATGTTGCTCAGAGATGCACAACAGTTCTGCTGTGGCTTTATAGGTCATATTTTCGTTGGCAAAATTGATCAAAAACAGACAATATTGTGTTTAAAATATAACACAATATTAACTCTTATTTACTCAACTGTTGTATAAAATCACATTTGCACTCGTGCTATTCAAGACAAAAACAACACTCGTGATATTCGTGATATATTGTGATATTGCACTCGCTGCTTGTGTGATATTGCTTAAAGGGGTCATATGATGCGAAGTTTTCCTTTCTCTTTGGAGTGTTACAAGCTGTTCGTGAATACATAAGATCCCTAAAGTTGCAAAGACTAAAGTCTCAAACCCAAAGAGATATTCTTTATAAAAGTTAAGACTCGTCCACATCCTCCTAAAACGCCTTGTTTAAACTCAGAACGATGAGCTTTGTAAAAATCGACGCGTTTCAGAAAGGCGGGGCATAGAGGAGAAACAATAATGTACAGTATGTGGAAAATAATGTGTTTTTTGAACCTTAAACCGCATACACACATTTCATTACACCAAATATACAAAATAATGTTATTTTTTAGCAACGCCATATGACCCCTTTAACTATATCATATGAGAAAAATATGAGAAAAAAACTCATACTGGGGCTTTTTTTTTTGGCCCAATATTTTGAATTTTCGGCTGGGGCTGAGTGGGCGCGTTAACTTCGTTAAAATATTTTCATCGCTTTATTGTTTCAGAACAAATTAAGTAAATTAATGCGTTACATTTTTATATACAATTTTTTATTTTTATATACAAACTTTCCATTTACTTGTGAGAGCCAATGGTGAAAAAGAAGTGCGCTTAATTGTATTGAATGTGCACTTGTGGTGTACTTCAAATATTAAAAGTAAAATTAATAGATTTTTTATATATTTGAAATGTACTAAATTGCAACTTCATTACAAATATATAATTGCATATATGTACATGCATGACGTACAAGTTTCAATAGCAATGACATTAAAGTATATTTTAGTTGATCATAAATGCTGTTGAATACATTCAACAGTACACTTTAACCATATTTCAAAGACAATACAATTATGAAATTACATATAAAGATGTACTTAAGTCCTACTTAAGCGTGTCAAAAACCACTCTTAAGTTCAACTTATTGCATTTAATATAAATGTAAACTATTATGCATTTTCATTTAATTGCAGATAATATACAAGTGTCAAATTATTAGCTCTCACTAAAGTATATTATGTTAAAGTACATAATTTCTGTAATAAGAACAGTTTTGTTCTTTTTCACATGGAAGTACCTCACCATGAACTTGTTTTTGTAAAGAAAAGAAATTTTTTTTTTGTGGTAATCAACATTATGCATAAAATACTATCAATTGCGCTTAGCTTGTTTTGAACCCAGAATATTCCAGCGAATGAGATTTTTGAGCTCCAGTGGAGAGGAAAATTATTCTGCTCTGTTATTCCATTAATATCTGGTCATGGAGTATTAATAAAATAATAAAAGGAGTCAGAGGTTGTTCGGGGTCTACAGCAGGACATCTCAGAGCCGGATACGTGTGATGTCTGCTGACTGTACTGTACTCCGGACTGGATCTTTTCTCCATAACCGTCCGCTGTGATTAGCAAAGCCTTGTGCTATGACTGATGCTGTATAAATAGCTCATCCTGCATTTGGGCTGATCCGGCCTTAATGCCCTGACTTTGTTCACATGTCCGCTATCCGGTGAAGTAAAGGGGCTGGCAGGACCCCATCCTATGAGCTTTAATCCACCCAGAAGAATCAGAGGCAGTGTTTGACATAATTTAAGCCAGCAGGACCCGTGAGAAGGTCACTGTGCCGTGAGTTTGAGGTGGATTGAGAGGGAGCTGTAGAGGGCTCAGATATGGAGGTTTTCGGAGAGCAGGAGGAGCGTGTGGTGGCTCGTGAAATGGTTGCTGAGGAAGCTCTATGGGAGGAGGATGTAGATGAGGTTCTGAACGCGGCTCTGGATGAGAGTTTGGAGGAGCGAGCGGATGCCATGCGCTGTCAGGTGAAGATCACCACACGTCACAACCTGCAGCTCCGCATGGCCAACTACACGGCACGAGACGTCTACGTGCGGCTGCTCGGCCATGGAGATCGCATCTCAGGAACCGGTATGGAAGCTCCCAAAGTCCTGCAGAAATGATGGTTTACCAGTGTTAGCATCTAAAATTGTGATTTTAAAGGTGGACTAGATGCAGGATCATTCCTACTTCATTTCTTCATTGAATAGCAATTTTGCATCATTCTGAAAACATAAAGAGATGGTTCATCCCAAAATGAAAATTTTGTCATCCATTTACTTACTTCATATCATTCCAAAGTTGTTCCGAATGTTACAAAAGAAGATATTCTGAAAACTGTCTTATGTGTTTTTTTGTCCGTTCAGTGGAAGTCAGTGGTCACTAAAACTGTTTGGTTACCAACATTCTTCAAAATATCTTCTTATGTGTTCTGCAGAAATAAGTAAGCCATACAGGTTTGGAATGACATGAGGATGAGTAAATGATGACTGATCTTGGAGATCTATTCTTTTAAAGCAGCCGAAAACTCTTTGACTCTACTGAAAAGCAGGGTTTAGCTTGACAATGAAATAACTGATTCAATTAAACACAGCATAAACATAATGCTACAACTTGTGCAAATACACATGTGAACATGAATTAAAATGACAGTTCACTCAAAAATGAAAATTCTGTTATTTACTCACCCTCGTGTCGTTCAAACCCGTATGAATTTCTCAATTCTGTTGAGCACAAAAGAAGATATTTTGAAGAATGTAACAGTTGACGGCAGCCATTGACTTCCATAGTATTTGTTTTCATACTATGGCTCCTTTTAGCTTGACATTAGTTGGTAACATGTCAAGATGTCATGCAAAGTCTCTATTTAAACATGCAGGAAGATGTCAGTGTTTACCTATAGCAGCTGTGTTTATCGTATCTTTCACAAAAAGTAGGGTATTTTCTCCATACTATGGAAGTAATTGGTGACCGTCATCTGTTTGGCTATCCACATTTTTCAGAATATCTTCTTTTGTGCTCAACAGAAGAGAGAAACTCATACAGTTTTGGGACAGTTTTTAATTTTTGGGTGAACTGTCCCTTTAAGTGATGTGGCAGTCAGAATGTCTTAAGTCATGTTGTGAATATGTTCTTTCCATAACACTAAAAAACACACACACACACACACACACACACACACACACACACACACACACACTCAGTATATTGTAGTAAAATATTGTCCCTTTAAGTGATGTGGCAGTCAGAATGTCTTAAGTCATGTTGTGAATATGTTCTTTCCATAACACTAAAAAACACACACACACACACACACACACACACACACACACACACACACACTCAGGATATTGTAGTAAAATATTGTAGTCATTATTATATCATTTCAGGAGGAGGAGGACAGATTTACATTCATACATTTTAATTTATAAATGTCTTAATATTTAGTTTCTTTTTGCATTTTCTTATCAAATAAATTTCTATTTTCTGCAACTAAAATTTTAAGATTTACAATAGAGTAAAATGAGTGAATGTACCATGAAATAATGACTAAATGTAATATATGTTTCATCAGAAGACAAGGACTATGACAATAATTTAAATGGAGATGAAAATATGAGTGACTGGGTCATAAAATGAAATGATTACTCTGTGGCTTACCAAACAGAAATGGTAAAGTAATTAACATAGTTGTAGTTTCAAATAAAAGCATTCAAAGGCATTAACTTCTATTTAAATTAATTGTTAAAGTTTTATGTAATTTGTTGCGTAGACAATGAACCATTTTCTTCAGAAAATGAAAAAATCAATTTCTCTGTGCTTTGCTGTTATGACACATCATAGGAGGGGAGGGCATGCCAACTTTAGTTTCAAATGACATTCTTCTCTTGTCTTTTTCTTTTTATGTCTTTCACATTGTTTAAGAAAATCACCCTCTGATTTAGTTATTGTTGCATCTACCTGTTGCCATGGTAGCCATGATGATGGTCTGTTGCTAGTGACGACTGTTGCCTCCTCCTGGGCTAAATGGCTCTGTATGTGTCGCTATGGTGACATCTTCTCTTTACCCATATGCCTGCATCTACTCACTTAAGTGTGTTTCTGTAGAAGCTGTTCAATAGATAACTCATGATTATCCAATTAGTTTGACTAATCTTACATTTCAGGAACTGTTAATTGGCTGTCAGTGCTGATGCCCTGAAATCTGGTACATCCTGTCAATGCTGGATCATTCAGTTACCGAGTGTGGAATTCATGCTTTTCATGCAACAATCCAGTTTTTATCTGAAGAGACGGGAATTATTTTTTGATAGTATGTTAAAGTATCATTGTGAAAGGTGAGGATGGTTACATCAAATGACGTGGCAGAGCTCTATGTGTGTTAGAGAATAGTTGCATGCAGCATCGACGTCACTGACAACTTAACCGAGAGACTTGTCTTAATCCACACTAGTCAGGCAGCTGGGTCTATATTTAGACTGGACTTGTCCAAAGAACACAGCCGTGCCTCTCAACTGCTGGAAAAACACACATACAGCATAAACACAAAAAGAGAAATATTATTATTATTTTAATATTTTATTACATTTTATTTTTTATTTTATATATTTATTAAATATTATTATATACATCAAAATCAGATTCTAGCTATTACCCCTAAGAATTTATTTACATATAGATAAGTTTCTTGTAGTATAATTCAGTTTCATTGTGCCTTGTAATAAATCAGACATGACAATTGTGTAAAAAACATTAATAACTAACAATCAGGTTTGTTATAGTTAACTGAAACTAAAACCATAAAACATTTTTCATAACTTGAAATAACGTTAACTAAAATGTACTGGAAATGAATTATTTCAGCTAGTTGCTGAAAAAAAAACTGAAATAAAACTATACAGACATATTTTTAATAAACAAAAATGTATAAAAATGACAAAACCATACAACCAAATTTCTAAAATTAAAATGAAAACTGTAAAGTAAAAATGAATTCAAAAGATTAATAAAAATTACTACAGTAAAACTGCTAAAACAACACTGTCTACAAAATGTATCTTTGAAAATATTATTATAAATAAGTATTCTTACTAAGCATTAGTATTCTTGTGGTTTATGCCAAGTACAAAAAAAAGAAAAAAATAATTTCAGTTTTTTTACCCCCTCATAAAAGTGCAAATATAATAAAATAGTAAATAAACTTGCTTCTTAAATGGTAGTTATGTATATATGGGTCAATTTGGGTTGTATTTTTAGATTTTAGGTTTAGGTAGATTTATTATTATAATTTTTTTAAACAAATTTTATTATGTGTGTGTGTGTGTGTGTGTGTGTGTGTGTGTGTATCGGTGTGTATGTATGTATGTATGTATATATATATGTGTGTGTGTGTGTGTAATTAAAAAAAAAAATTTAATCTGTTCATTTTAATGGTTTGTTTTATTTTAAAAGCTCTTTTGCTTTCCACAATTAGAGTTGCAAATCTATCAGATACTATGAATATGTTCAAGTCCACAGTGTTTCCTGATAATTACTTGTATATCCTTCAAGATGTGTTCAATGAATCGTAAAGGGACAGTTCACCCAAAACTGAAAATTCTGCCATCATTTACATTAACAGAAGATATTTTGAAAAATGTGGGTAACCAAACAGTTGCTGGTCCCTATTGACTACCATAGTGTGCATATATGTATATATATATATATATATAATTTTTTTTTCCCATTCTATGGGAGTCAATGGCTACTGTCAGTTGTTTGATTACCCACATTCTTCTAAATATCTTCTTGTGTATTCAGCGCACAGGAAAAAATAATACTATGGAAGTCAATCCGTCAGCTGTTTGGTTACCAGCATTCTTCAAAATATCTTCTTGTGTGTTCAGCAGAAGAAAGAAAGTCGTACAGGTTTGGAGTAAATGATGACAGAATGTTCGTTTTTGGCTGAACTATCCCTTCAACTTTCAGTGATTAACACAGCTGTTCACTCTGCAGGACTGTCGGCTTTGAAAGACTCGGTTCATCTGTCTCCACTGAAACCATCGGTCACTCCTGAAGAGGTGGAGGTGGAGGAGAGGGAAAACCACGTTCAGGAAGACGAGCCAGTCAACAGGACGAGAGCGGATGAGGACGTAGACCATGAAGATGAAGCGTGCGCGGCTCTCACCATATCTGACACAGCGTACAGCCCATGTGCCAGCGTGGTGCCCACACCGGTGGAGGAGAGCCAGGGCGGCCTAGACCTGCTGTTCCAGAGTCCCGCGCGCCTGCTGAAGGAGCTGCACGCTGACCCAGAGATGCAGCTGGAGCTCCAGGCCGAGAGGGAGCGGGAACTCGCCAGAGAGGCGTTTCGTCAGTCGCTGTGCAGCCCGTCGAGTGGACGGCAGCAGATGCAGGCGTGTCTGCTCAGTGCCGCCCGTCTAGTGGTGATGGCCACGGGTCTCCTCATCATTCTGCTTCCCCTCCTCCTCGTGCTGCTGGAGTCGGACCTGGACATCTCATTCTTGCACGACATCCGGCAGACGCCGGAGTTTGAGCAGTTCCACTACGAGTACTACTGCCCCCTGCGCCGCTGGATCCTCTGCAAACTGGAACTCATGACGGAGCAGTTCTGGGGCGACTGAGGCTCACAGGGAACAGGGGGCGGGAATATAATGGACAGGACAGGTTTGCTCTCCTACATCACATGATTTATTCATTCACATCTTTTGCGGATCACGCCGATGTGTTCTCGTAGCAGTACTGGAGGCAGTTTTCTAGCGGTAGCGCTGTAGTTGTCTAGTGTTTTAGCCATAGTGTTAGACAGCGGACAGCAGCATGGGCCTTTAAATGGTTAAGTCAGCTTCATTAAAGGTGTACGACAAGCACAGCTCTGATATAAATGCATTGGAGCATCATACATTTCAACATTGATGATGGATATGTATGCCTCTTCAATATTTTCATTCATTTCACCTGCCTGTTGTCAGAAACATGAGTGTCGGTCAGGGTCCAAAATTAACTTTTTGCCCTACATTTCAATGATGAGTGAATTTTGTGGATGGATAATTTTATTAAAAAATTTTTTGCAGGTTTTTCTTTGTTTTGGTCTTCCTACGACTATTAATAAACCCCCTTTCTGTCTAATATATGAACGTTTGAGGTCAGGATTTTTTTTTTGAAAGAAATTAATACTTTTATTCAACAAGGATGCATTAAATTGATCAAAAGTAATAGTAAAGACATTAATAATATTACAGAAGATTTATGTTTCATATAAACACTGTTCTTTTTATACATTAAAGTATCCTAAAAAATATATCAGGGTTATAAAAGTAAATATCTCATGAATGACATTACAGAAGATTTATGTTTCATATAAACACTGTTCTTTTTATACATTAAAGTATCCTAAAAAATATATCAGGGTTATAAAAGTAAATATCAGGGTTATAAAAAAAAAAATCAGGGTTATAAAAAAAAAAAAGGCAGCACAACTGTTTTCAACATTAATATTAATAATAAATGTTTCTTGAGCAGCAAATCAGCATATTAGAATGATTTCTGAAGGATCATGTGACACTGAAGACTGGAGTAATGATGCTGAAAATTCAGCTTTGCATCACAGGGATAAATTACATTTTAAAATATATTAAAATGGGAAAAAAAGCTACTTTAAATTATAATAACATTTCACGGTATTACTGTTTTTTACTGTATTTTTGATCAAATAAATGCAACTTCAGCCATAGGAGTCGATGGAATCAATGTATTTACGAAAATAATCAATTCTTATCAGCTCAGGCATCACATACTAGTGAATCATCACACAAATTCTAGACACATTATGACATTGTTACTCATATTTCTGTTTTGCTAGCAGAAATGTTATGGCACATGGCCTCCTAGCTTAATTTGTCATACTTAAAGTAAAAGAGGTCTTTCTTTTGTAGACTATTTGTATCTTTTTGATTTGATTCACTTATAATAAGTGAGGCTCACTGTTTAAACGTGTTAGGTTACGCAACCAGCCAACTGCCCTGTAAAACATTTTTGTAAAAAACCAATTGTTATTCACATTTGATGCTTGCGAAAGTTCATTTTGGACCCTGAAGCCGGTTTGAGTGTGAAATCTGGTATAAACTCATATGAAGAGTTCATTTGAAATGATTTGATGTCTTTGACTCAATCAACCTCCATAACAACACAAATAATGCACGTCAAAATGTAGAAGAGGCGCAGGCAGGTAATGAGCTCAGACCTGCTTCACTAAATCAAGATTTATTTTCTTAAAAATCAAATCACAGCCATTCAGACGAGCAGATTCTGACCTCATAACACTGTATTGGAATAAATCTCTGCCTCTTGCAACACACAGAGCTATGAGAGAGAGGGCAAGACTTGTATAGACATGTATAGACATGCTAAAACTTAATATCTCTTTTTAAAATTTTATAAATTTTTATGTGATGCTTACAGTTACTTATATTTTTCAGCAAAAAAAAAAAAAGCTTAAGTTATCTTATTTCAACTGATTTACACTAAAATGTAGGTGGTATAGAAGTGAAATATTTTTACTATCACCAACAATTTAACTTAAAATGCTGTGATGTGTTTTTATATAGAATAGCACAAACTATAAAACATTTTTTCTTCTTATGAATTTTAGATGTCATGAGCAGATGTAACAGCAGGTTGCTAGTACATTTGAGAGGCTCTTATGAAACTGATCACTGTAATCACACAACATACACAAGCACAAAATACATAAACAAGATGCATGAAAACGCCACAAATCGAAATATTACACACATTAAAAGAACATAAGTTTTGTGTCAGTATCTTTTTGTGGAAGTCAACAATGAAAGTGCAGCTAATAAAATTTAGTTTACAAACTAAGTCAATTTGGCCCAAAAGAGTTGTCAATTGAAAACTACATTTCATTTGCACACTGGCTTTTCTTTATAGATATATATATTTTTAATTTATTGTTAATGCAAGCTTGTTTTGTATGAAAGCTTGTTTCTGCCACAGGATAAAATAAATAAAAAGGCAAAACAAAAAGGTAAAATTGCAACTTTTTACCTTAGCCTACTCTTCTAACTTTTTTGACTTCATAATTGCGAGATATGGACTCAGAATTGAATTTGAGATATAAACTCGCAATTGTAGGAAAAAAGTCTTTATGGTGAGATATAAACGCAAATTTGAGGAAAAAAGAGTCTGAATTGTGAGATAAAAACTCGCAATTGTAGGAAAAAAGTCTGAATGGTGAGATATAAACGCAAATTTGAGGAAAAAAGAGTCTGAA